GTATCATGGACCCTGAATCGTTGAGGTCGCTGGGGTTGTGGGCCGAGTAGGTGATGACAATATACAGGTTGAAGGCCTCATTCATTACCCAGGAGTATGTGGCCAGGAAGAAGTAGTGCAAAGCTATGGCGAAGATGTGACACAAGGCCTGCGAATGGTACCATGTAAACGGTGTGTCCATATTGAATTGTTAAGAAAGCATTTGTATTACAACGCAAAAGGGACGTGCCCACGCCTTCAGTCACACTGAGCATATAGGGCTAGACCTATATTTCAAAGACCAACTCAGTGGGTGACGCGATAAACATAACGCCGGCAGCCTTTACTTCTTATAATTTTACCTGGTAGCTATTTAAGGTTAGGTCGACCTTGGAGCCTAGCTCATGGGTAAAAAATAAAGGTCTTCTTCTCCTCCACCTTGTACCTCATCGAAGTGTCAGGGGGGAGGGGGGGGAAGGGGTCATGTTCGGTGATGAGCTCTGTCAAGAGCACTATTAAGACTGATGTTTATTTCTGTAAGGCTGTTCTTAATGTCATCACTCCATATTTTCCGAAGTCTTCCACTCGCTCTATACCTGTTGTAACGTTTTAGTGCGGCTCGCTGTCGCAGATAGTACCAGGGCATTCTTGTTAGGTGTCCAAACCACTTCATTTGTTGTTCTTTGATGACCTGTAAGACTGACTTTATTCCTAGCATTCGTGTGATTTCGTATTCTGTCTTTCCTTGAAACTCCTGCAGCTCTTCTGAGGCATTTCATCTCTGTTGTCACAATTTTACATTCATTGGAGGATGTAAGTGTCCACGTTTGGCATTGATAGCATATTATTACTGTTGCAAAAGACCCATGTTTTGTTGTCATGTTATGAAACCAGAGGGGTGTGAACGACTGGTACAAGAACTTCCTATCTTGGCAAAAGCGTATAAGAATGTTAATCATGCAACTGGTGTCTGTATACCTACCTACACGTTTGTGGATATAAATATAGGTGTAATTCGAGCAAATTTCAGTGCTTGTTTTTTACTATTTAACTGTTGTTCAAAATATCTCTTTCCTTTTACTTGTTAATAGATGTATGAATACAATGATGTATCTAAGAAGGTATATTAGAAGGACATAAATTTAGACCGTCCTTCGTGCCCTATTCTAAACTTTCTAAAAATATATTTATTCTTTTGTTTGTTCATTCCTTTTGTTGGCTGTATGTCTACGTGTTATTCTATATGTCCTTCTGTTTACCCAACCAGAGCTCAGTTCATCTAATGACCTTGCCCTCTTTTAGAATTCCTATCTACTAAACAACTTGCTTATTTGTCTCTGAATTTATAAACACACATCTGGCTGTTTCTATTTAACCATCATATTTCAATCTGACTTTTGTTTTTTTATACATACCCAGCAGCCTGTCTATCTATCTGCTTACATATACAATCAATCAGTTGAATGTCTGTATGTTTGGCCATCCTTTTATCTGTACATGTCTATCTGTTGTTAGTTTATCAATCATTCATCGTATATGATTGTGTGTGTGTGCGTGCGTGCATGTGTTCACATGCAGCAGTCTATCAGTTTAATTAATTATATATACTAATTTAAATCTCTGTCGTTATGTCAGACCGTCCGGCCTTCCACCCAGAGGCTTAGCAAGACGTGTGCGGGCCGCACCGGGTGTCACCACTAAGGAGGTGATAAAATGGCAAAAATTTTGCATTTTTGCAAAAATAATTTGTATCAGTTTGTGTGTGTTTGTGTGGTGTGTGTGTGTGTGTGTGTGTGTTTGTGTGTGTGTGTGTGTGTGTGTGTGTGTAAAGGGGATTGGGAAGAATAGGAAATTTTCCGAACAAGTACCACCTGACCTTGCAAAGCGACTGGGGATTTTCCGCACTGGTTTCGGCCACTGCTTCCGTCTATACTTTTGTTTGTATGTTGTTACATTTCCCACATTCCTTCTATCTGGCGCATGCACGCACACAGACCAGCACAGAAGACAGTAGCAACACACACCAGCGTCTCATAAGTCTGTCAATGCTACACACACACACACACACACACACACACACGCATCGCACGCAGACAGTAACACTTATCAGTGTCTCATACATGTCTGTCAATGATTTACACACACACACACACACACACATACACACACACACGCACACACACAAGCACATACGACAGGCAGTAGCCACACTTACCGGTGTCTCGTACCTGTCTATACCAAACATGAAGACCAGCTGGCTCAGTGCTATAGACACAGACAGATTGCGATGTATGGCTGCAGTACTAGTTGAAGTTCTGAAGTAAATACAAGTACAACAGTTTGTAGTAGAGGTGCAGGTTGTGGTGACACCGTAAACTTAGGGAAGAAAACGATAAGCATAAAGAAAAAGGTAAAGACATAGTCTTAGATGACACATACTGTAGTATGTTTATGTGTGCGCTCTTGTGTATGCGCGCGAAAACAATAGTCACCATCCGGGAACCGAACCTGTCACCTTTAAATAACGAAAAGTGCTGCAGAAACAAGTGTTTAAGGCGCAGGACCAAATAGGCACCCCAACGAAATTTGTACTCATTAGCCATGTCTATTGTAAAGCTTGAATCCACAATTGGAATCCACAACTCATATTATACTGGTCTTCGAAGTCTACTGCATGCCAATTATTTTAACTTTGACAAAGCTACGAACGTCGAATGAATACCTGGCTAATATAAACCTTTTTTGTATACAATCTTCATGGGCGAGAACTTTAGTTCAAAATCATGGAAGCTGCAATCACATCAACCCTGAACCCCCTTCCCCTACAACAATCTACAGAGAGCACTTCAGTTCGGTGTTCAGGGAATCAGTTAGTTATTACACCAGACCCTATCCACCATTCCAAACCTCGACAACCGGACCGCAATACGACAAATAACGTCTAGAATCATAGTTAGGATTCATCAACCATTTCACCCACATTCCAATTATATGCCTAACCTGCTCTTATTACAGGAAGACATCTATAAGATAGCTATGATCAAATAAAAATTTTTTTCACAATTTCGGTCTATCCAAACTCAAAAAATCTGTTTTCAATACCTTTGGCAAAGTAAAATACTCAAATTAAAAAAAAACTATAAATGGTGGTCAGAAAGGACGTTATGTAAAGAATAGTTGCGAACTAGCTTGGTCTCTCACGAGATTCGCCTGGCCAAACTAGAAGGGAACAGATTCGGGAACACATTGAAGGACACAATGACAAAATAATAAGGACATAGAATACAGAGGACGACCCACGAGGACAAACATCAGGAAGATAAGGATAAGAGGAGCACGTTGGGATACACACAGAAAGTAACGTTCTAGCTACTAGGATAGGAATATAACGCCAGAGAGAGCTGGCCCACATACCACAGTCTTAGCCACGCAAATGGCACAAATAAACCAGACCACAAATATAACCCGAGACTGCAGGCAGCTGCCTGTCAACAACAGCTGAAAGTATTCGAGTTTTTGATTTTTTTCTTTCTAGAATGGAAATGGAAATGGGAGGATTTTTGTTACTCTTAATAACTTACTTTGGTTACTGCAACCGCTAAGTCTGAAATACGAAATTTGGAAATGTCATGGCGAGCAGTTCGGATGGAGCGATGTTGACTCCTCTGCTCATAGACTGACGTGTGGTCTACAGAAGCATGCTATTAGCATCACAGGCTCGATGCGTCACTGGGATTGAAAGGTTCCCGTACTTGCAATATTTCGCCGCCCTGTCTTATTTCACAAGGAATTTCCCAGGGTCCCAGTGCCTGGGAGAGATTGTGAGCCCATGACTACCAGACTGGCTAACAAGTAAGCTGGAGCCTACTTTCTTCGAGGGGGTACATTACAGAAAAATGTATGTCTGTAAGTTGTACCCCACCAGGACATCACACAAGCGATAAACACCCAGTGACACAAAGTGTCATCATGCGGATGAGAATCACTCGTGGGGAGGTCCCAGAAACTCCTTTCAGCCTTTAGGCCATATCTATGGCTAGGCCATATCTATACCCCGGCTATATTCATGGCCCCCGGCAGAAGACAAGGGTGGGGCTTCAAATAACTGACTGAATGACTTTCTGCCCCACCAGGACATCACACAGGCGATAAACACCCGATGACACCATGTGCCACCATGTGGGTGAGGATCACTGTGGAGAGGTCCCAGAACCGGGTTCAGCCTATAGGTCTTATTTATCGCCAGGCTATATTGCGGCCCCTGGCAAAAGCCAGAGTAGGGCTTCAAATAACGAAAAATTTCATCCTAAAAAAGGACGAGATGTATACGAAATCAAATAACAAAAAAATTGCTTCCCACAATGGGGACGACTGCATAACACAGAAAAATGTCAGAAATTCTAAAAACAACACTAACATTGTCATCATCAGCAAACAGCAACAAGTACAATATCAAAAGCAACAGCAAGAACAAAACAACTGACAGTATATTTATAATAACTGAAAAATGCGTCAGCTACTAACCTCAAGTAAATATGAACCCCACAGACCATCAAGCAAAGCATGGCCGACAATGTACAACCGAAGTACGAAGCAAAGTTCATCAGTTTTGGTCGCTTGTCTCCCTTATCCCACTGCAGATTTAGAAATAGACAATTATGCGTTTGCCCTCCGCGACTACAATCTTTCGACACCCCATGACTCAAAACGTCACATACGACTGGGAATGGCCGAACGAAACAGTGATATTTTCCATGTGCGTTTTGGATTTTTTTTTTTTGGTAGATGGGAAAAAGAGAGGGTTGGGGTGGGATAAAAAAAACACACACTGCCCCAATACAAACATTTAGGGAAATCGGATGTGCTGGACCAAAAGGAGCAGATATTACAGCCTAGGTAAATACCACAACACAGCCAACCCATTCATTATTTGAAGATCAATGATCTATGATAAAACAAAACACGAATATATATATATATATATATATATATATATATATATATATATATATATATACTCTACATACTGATTGGAACAATTGCTTCTGTGTGGCGAAGTACACACTTTCAAGAGGACATCCAATGAGACACAATTATATCGTTTGAGATGAGAGGATCTTGCATGTTGGAAAGAAGTTGGTATATAGACTTCTCTCTCTCTCTCTCTCTCTCTCTCTCTCTCTCTCTCTCTCTCTCTCTCTCTCTCTCTCTCTCTCTCTCTCTCTCTCTCTCTCTATTTCCCCCTGTTAATTAAGTAGCATCCATATAGGCACTGTTGCAAAACCCCTATTTTTATGTGGTTTTATTATGAAACCAGTGGGGTGTGAACGACTGGGATATGAACTTTCCATCTGAAGAAAAGCGTATAAGGATGTCAGTCGTGTAACCGGTGTCTGCATTTGTGTTTGTGTACATATGTGTGTGTATGTGTGTATGTGTGTGTGAGTATATGTGTGTATATGTGTGTATGTGTGCGGGTGGGAAAAGGGATAGACAGACAGACAGATAGACATACATATATACATGTATATAGAGAGAGAGATGCAGAGAGAGAAAAAAAAAAGGGGGGGGGGGGAGGTTTTATATAATGAAGTTAGAAAACATTTTCGAAAAAATGCTGCTTCATCCTAAACAAATACAACACAACACAGGTCATTTCAGATGACAGCGAGGAAAAGGGGGAGGGGGGGGGGGAGGGGAAGAAATGTAGTCCGGCTGATATCGGCAGACATCAAATAAGGTAACGGGTTCAGTGAGTTTATTTCCTTTGCGCTAATAGGTATAAACACACTTACGTTGTCGTCATACATATCTGTTGTTATTGCATACACTCCCGGTCGCTTGCATGCACAGACTCCATGATGGCCGGAATAGCTGACTAAAGTACAGCTACGAATCCATTTCCACTGCTTATATCTGCAAAAAAAAAAATACATTCAGTCAAACGTAGAAGTTACCTACGGCAATGATAAGACATACAAAATAAAATAGCATGAATGTTGAATATTGAATGTCGAAATGAGAATCGACATTACAGGACTCGGGACACTTCTATAAGTGCTCAGTCCCCATCTTCAGCAACAAGCAAAGGGTTCCAGTTCCATTGATAACAGTAACCGTCTGATTGTATATCCGTCTCACCCTTCCCCTGAGTGTTGAGCGTTGGCCAGATCCCCTGGTAACTGCTCGCAGCGCCATTCTCCTTAGACCGTAATGATCTATCTGCGCCTCTGCACTGTTCACTCGCTCCCAAAGGGCCCTCACAATATCTAACTTGTCATACATCAATTCACCACAAGTGGTGCAGAGCCAGCCAGTCTATCTGCCTGCTCATTTCCCAACAAACGTGAAGAATTTCCAAAAGATGCTAACTACCCGGGATCTCTGAAGTAATGCTTGCCACTCTGCACGAAGCATGCCTGTTTTCACTTTTTTTCTACATGCTCTGTGAGCCAGTTACAATGAAATAGAATTACGATGCATGTATATTTAAGTTATTATTGAGACTTAATTCCACTGGGTTATCAGTATGTATTGTCTGTTTAATTACGCAAAGGCAAATTAAAGAACGCAAAAGTGATCACGAAAATCACACAGCCACACATAAATGCAGGAAGTGGTTTGCAATGTCATGAGAATGATAAATAAATGCTTATTTTGTTTTGTTTAAAAAAAAAAAAAATGTGTTGGTAATTTTTTTCTTTTAGCTTTTACTAAGAGCTCTTCATGTGTTAGTCATCATTCCGACTGTTTATTCCTCTGGTCTGCTACCTGATAGTTTGATCACCACTGCGACTTCAAGAAACCCATCCTGGTTGAGAATCCGACTCCTAGATACCCTTTTAAACATGCAAGGAAGGAGCTGCGTGGTTTCGAGGCATGGTGTCAGCCTCGAGTTCTAGAGGTTCCGGGTTCAATTCCAGGTAAGGGCTGGGATTTTTTCACGGTCTCTAGGTGGTGAGATCGGACACACATGTGCATTGTTGCGCACGTAAAAAATATATTGGCATTTGGAAATCGAAAAGAGTAGCCTAACGGCTCTGCTCGTGCAAAAATGTGTAGTTAAACATCTACCTAAAGTATTTCAGGATCATTGCCGGTGCTACAGAGCCTGTGCACAATGCTGAGCTTCTTCGGACTCAGACTTGAGTTTAAAAAAAAAAAAACGGAGCACTTATGGGTTACTACCCGTGTGCAAAGATGTTCAAACTTCGAACCTCAAACATGCAAGGACGTGAAAGTAAAACTACTCATGATGGATACGCCAAGTATCGTCACCTGCAGCTCTTTGCATGTGGGCGGTGGAGTATTAGTGAGTATTTAGATTTACCTACTTGATATTTATTGCCAACTACTTGACCTGACAGACATATAATCAATTGATACTGGTACCTCCCCCGTGTGGGTTCCGGGGTCCCATTGTGGGGGAAAACAAGAATAGACCCACTGCCTCCCCAAAAGCATGTCGTAAGAGTCGACTAATTGGGAAAGCTTCTTTTGAAGTCGGAGTGCATCTGCCGGAGAGGCAAGGAACCAACAGTCTGTATTCAAGAGAATGACATCTGTAAAACTGATGCACACGCAACACTCAGGTTCTGGAGCAGGACTACCGTTTAGTAGTGGACGAGCAACCAGAACTTTCCGCCAGAGTGTACAGCTAGTAAACGCGAAGAAGAAGAAGAAGATACTGGTACCTTCAAAATTTGAACTCTTTGCTTGCAGCTGAAGATGAGGACTGAACGCTTATGGAAACGACCCTAGTTTTGTAATTTATGTTCTTAGCCCCATTCAACTACTTGGCTCTGTCTGGATCTCTTTCTGTTGCTGATATTTGACGCATGTAACACTGCAGTTTTTTAATTGTTAAATATATTTCTCCGCATTGCAGTCTTGTCACTTCAAAATTTTTTTTTTAGTATGTATACTTTGCTGTTGTTGTTGCTGCTACAACTACTACCACGATTACTACTCCTACTCTACTACCGCTGCTGCTACAACTACTACCACGATTACTACTCCTACTCTACTACCGCTGCTGCTACAACTACTACCACGATTACTACTCCTACTCTACTACCGCTGCTGCTACTAACGCCGCCGCCACTACCAACACCATGGCCACCACAACCACTACTGCTACTGCTGCTACCACGAGCACTACTCCTACTGATGATGCTGCTGCTGCTGCTGCTACTACTACCACTACTACCACCACCACCACCACCACCAACACCACTTCTACTGCTGCTGCTAACACGTACTACTTCAATATTCACATAAACTATAATAGGGAGAAAACAACTGGAAAAAAAAGAGAAAGATACGAGTAGTTTAAAAAAAAAAAAAAAATACTTTGAATACCACAAACTACTTACAAAGTGCCACTCCTTAGTCTCACACAATGTGGGTTTGAGATGTTGAAAGTCTGTAGGGCAAGAATATTAAAAGTCTGCTGATATTCCAGGAACAAAAGTTGAATGGCAACATTTCACAATGTGAATTCATCATCATCATCGTTGTTCGTAAACAGTCTTTGGGTCACCAGTTGCTGTTGATTGTCTGATCAGCTCCCTCCACCTTTGACGGTCAGATGCAATAGAATTCATGGTGGCATGCCTAATACCTGCCCGGTCAGTCAGGTTCTCTTTCCAAATCTTTTTTGGTCTGTCTCTTGTCGTCTTCCCCTCTACGGAGCCCCGTAGTATTGTTTTCAGAGACCGGTAGATCTTATTATATGTTCGTACTATTGCATTTTTCCATCTTGTCACTGTAGTTAAAAGAGGCTCACGGTTGCCATTTGTTGATAATAAAGTACTTCATATCAAAGTTGTAATTCATATATTCATTCAGTGGAAGATTAATTATTTTTTGTCAGTTCCATATCATTAGTAAGGACATTAACGGAACCTTCGCAAGCCGGTGGCGTATCGGGAATAACATGCTAGCCTCATATTTGGATAGATAAATGAGTGTCCCATATGTGATGTTTTCCATATCACACCAACCGACTTTACTTCCCAAAATGTTACATGGGACCTATTTTAGGCTGGGTCTATTTGGAAGCCATAGTCATCTAAAAATTTAAAATTAATCGATGTGGATTCGAACAAAAAATCTTCAGACCGGAAAAAAGCGCCTAGTAGGACATTGCAATGGCACCTTTACCAAATTATACATGTTTTAAAAACTCCTTCCCTGACAGACAGTTGCCCGTTATGAAGCAGGTACTTTGCAGAAAGTTGCTCTCATAACTTCTCGATTGGGATTCGGGGCCCAGTTTGGATTTTGGGGAGTAGGGTAGAGAGATCCACCCCCCCCCCCCCAACCATAAAAATCATGCTGTAAAAGTCAGTAAATTAAGGTTGTTTTTTCCAAAGTCGAAGTGCATCTGCCTGAGAGGCGAGGAACCTACAGTCTATGTACAAAAAAGACAAATCAGTAAAACGGATCTGCACACACAACTCAAGTTCTGTCGTAAGACTGAAGTCCAGAAGTGGCCGAACAACCAGAACGTTCCACTAGAGTTCACAGAGGGTAAACGCGAAGACGTTCACTACGCGCCACATGCTAATTTTTGTATTTCAAGTGTCAGTTAACATTTGATTGCTGTGAATGGTTTTCAAAGGGGCCTCAGCACACTGGTTTTCCTAGGGCCCATAATGCTGTTGCGACAGCTCTGCCTACGACCAACGGACAGGCGTGCAAGCATGCCAGTCCTTTTGCCACAAGGTCTATAAAGATTGTGGTGCTCAAGTTCTTCCTCTGCACTCGCCCTTTAGATGGGTTTGGTATTTTTTTTGCTGTGGTTTACAGCTAGGCTGTGATATCTGCGTCTTTAACACAATACATCTGATTTTTTAAAACCACTAATAAGTCACAATTTACATTGTTCTTTGTGTGTGTATGTGTTTGAAAAAAAAATGGGGGGGGGGGGGTGGAGGCAATGGGTATATTTCGGCAATTAGGCCCTAAATTCTGCTCCTGAACATCAACGGTAAAAAGGAAATAAATAATTTAGAAGATTCATTACGTCTAGAATGGGCAGATGGGCGTAGATAGGGTAGGTGAGGTTTCCCACGTCCACCTTGAGATCTTCCGTCAAAGGCTGCATGTGAAAGTAAAGGGCGACAATCGGTGTGTTGACTCTGTCCTCCTTGTGTCTTCTGTGAACCAGATAGAATAGAAAATAAGCACGCTCAGGCGTAACAAAGTCAATTAAAAAAATATAAAACAAGCAAGAAAGCATTGTCCACTGTTATTATGATCAACTCCTGCCTCTTCTTCCTTGGATCAAACATCTTTTACTGCTCCTTTTGAGGCAGGTAGGTTAGTTGTACCTCACCAGGACATCCCAAAAGCGATAAACACCCGGTGACACAAAGTGCCACCATGAGGATAAGGACAACCCGTGGAGAGTTTCCGTAAAGCCCGTTAAGCCGCTGGGTCATATTTAAGGCCCAGGTATATTTAGGGCCTCGGGCAAAAGCCAGGGTGGGGCTTCAAAATAACTAAAAATTGCATCCCACTAGGGGATGACATTATTTAACTGGTCTCTCAAAACCATTTTGTGGTGTTTGATATGACTAAATTATTTCAGTTTCTGAGATATGAAATTATCATAATACAAGTAATCCGCCCCCAATACGAGACAAAGTCTTTGTCTATATTAAAGCCCCACACTGGCTATCGTCGGGCACCCTTATACAACCTAACGGTTGAATGGGATTTCTGGGACTTGCGCCCGTGTGATTCGCATCTCTTGTGTGGTCCTGGTAGGGTTAAAATTCATTCATAATGCTGCCTACGTAAACCACCCTGTATGCAGCTTGTTGGTTCCTTACCTTGCAGACTAATGCACTCCGCCTTCGAAGAAGCTTGCATCCCCTCCCCCTGTTGGTAGACTCTTACGACATACTTGTTAGAGAGTCATCGGGTCGGGTCTTGTTTTCCACACAACGGGCCTAGGAACTCACACGGTCAACCATATAGAATCAGATTTGTTAATTTCATGGTGGTATGGTAAGTCTTTAGGCAGCAACCAGGAGGTGACAAACCGACCGATCGATAAGCCAGTCACAGTCCAGCGCAGTTTTCAGGGCATAAAGAATTCCAATAATTTCCCTTTGGACTTTGATACTCTATGAGTGTGCATTTAACGTTATAGTGTCGGGGTTGGTTTGGTTTATACAACGTAGAAACATGATGGCACAAAGGCAGTAACCCATAAGTGCTTAGTTCTACTTCTAACTCAAGCTTGAGTCCGAAAAATCTCAGTGCAGTGCACGAACTCTGCAGCACCGACAAGGATCCTGAAATACTTTGGGTAGATTAGTAAGTCCAAACTTTGTCCGGGCAACGCCGTTAGGCTACTCTTTTTGATTTTCAACTGCCAGGAGTTTATTTACGTGCGCAACAATCCACACGCGCGTCCGATCTACCAAGAAACCAAGGGAAATTACTAAAGCCCACTTCAAAAATCTCAGCCTTCACCGGTGCCTGAACCCAGGACCCCCAACACTCGGAGCGGATTCCATGCCTTGAAACCATTCGGCCCCCTGTTATAGTGTTATAATATATCATACTAGCACAACGTGTCCAATAAACATTCAAAGGGTCGTGGAAATAAAAGCGCTACTTTCTTTTACAGTAGAGATCTCTCTGTGTGAGTTTCGGGGAACCATTCTGGGGGAAAAAAAAAAGACAACTATTTCATGATAGGCCCTAATAAGAGATTTTTCTGTTGGATCATCAATGTTTCTGCTTGAGCAGCTAGGAACCAACAGTCTGCTTAGAAATAAAATAAGATCTATCAAACAGATGAGCCTGCAAAACTCAGGTTATGAAAACAAGATCAAAGTCCAAAGTAGACTAAGAAAAAGAAGAAGAAGAGGAGGAGGAAGATAAAGAAGAAGAGAAAGAAGAAGAAGAAGAAGAAGAAGAAGAAGAAAAAGAAGAAGAAGAAGAAGAAGAAGAAGAAGAAGAAGAAGTAAAAAAAGAAGAAGAAGAAAAACAATCATCTTTCTTTTTCAAATAATTCCCAGAGAATTTAGGAAGTTGGAGACGAAGGATATCTGGTTCTTTCGTAATATCTTCCCTAGATAACGTCACAGGACAATCCAACATTTTGGAGAAACGTAAGACTGGGTTTCCCGGCTTTATGATGCTTTTAACGACACCGAAACATCTACAACTGGCACTAACCCCAACCCACCTACGTCCCACAAGAGAGTGCAGCTTAGGTCCCACAAATGCCTGCAGCCTAGGTTCCACGACTGAAAAGCAACCTATCTACCAACTCCTCCCTGAAATATTAGACTGTCCTGTGGCCTGAGGATTTCCCCTGTTTGGGGTAGAATATTAAGAAAGCACTGAATATTTTTGTAGCAAATTTTACGCTGGGTGCTTTGGTGCATCATCTATATGGCGTTAGACATTGAAAGTGTTTGGAAGTTGCAGTTAACCTCCGTCATCTGGATCTACACACCTGAGCTTGCGGGAGCTAAAGGTAATAAAATAGCCCACCATCTGACAAGAAATGCACTTTTAAAACTGGAAGAAGCAAGGACAGAGCTGACATTATCAACGCTGTACAAAGTAGTATAAACTAGTTGGGAAGGGGTGGGGGAGGGAGAGGAAGATGACGAATTGTTAACGCTAACATGATTTCGTTAACTGGTGTATAGCATTGCGAAGCACGTCTAGTAATCGAGGTAAAGACAGGAGACACTATTAAGAACTTCTAATGGGAACAGTAAATAGAGGTACCTTCGAGTGGCTGCTGCATCGGAGAAGTGAGCAGGCATAGGAATGCCCAGTGGGCAGTGACGTCAATTGTGATAACATAACATGCCATTAGACACCTTAGACTCGATGTGTCGTGGGCCCTTACCATCCCCGTAGCCTTAACTTCCTACAATTTTTCTTGATATCTTTTCAAACCCGGATACAGGTATAAATAAACTCCGTACCTTGGGAGAATCGGGGAGTCACCGAGGCGGAGCGGCTAGACACTCGCCGTGGATCGGAAGGTAGTGGGTTCGCTCTCTGGCAGAGCTGGACTTTTTTCGGAAATGACCCTGGTTCCCAGGTCGACCCACCTTTGAGTGGGTACCGGGTGCAGTCCCGGAAAGTAAAGGCGACCGGTGTGATGCTGACCACATCACCCATCTTGTGCCGATTGGTGAATAAAAATATAGGTCTAGCACTATATGCCCTATATGCCTAAAGGCGTAGGAAAAGGGTCCTGTACTTACATACTTGGGAGAATCGAACCCATGATCACAGAGTTACACGCAACCATACTAGCCATCGCATAAATGCAGCTCACCAAGTCATCGTGATGATAGAATTAAGGCTGATATTACATATGATATACTCACGAAGTCACGTCGTTGATATCATGAGTTGGCAACATCCGTGCAAGAGTTTTGTATCTGAACGTGGATATACCGATGAAAACTGAAACAAAAAGGCTCAGTATTTTGACGCAACTAAAAAAGTACACCTGCTCAAATCTAACTTAACACCGAGAATAATGAGAATTATTAGTCCTCCCTCCCGCCCCCCCCCCCCCACCCCGCCCCACCCTTTCATACATACGGGCGTATCAAATACAGGCTATCCGTCTATTATGTTTCACTAATTGCAAACTAATATTTTATGCAATCTTTCTTTGTCAATTCAGACGAGCAGGAGAATTCTTGAAAGCTAAATAAATCCTATACTGATATACGGATGTGCATCATGGACAGTTAATTAGTGAAAACTTACTTGGAAGCCGTGGAGATGTAGTTTTACAGATGAATGACAAGAATACCCTGGACAAATGAAAAGAGTAATAAACATATCTTAAAAGAAACTGACTCACGAAGAGAAATGATTGCCCACATCAGAAAGAGACAATCTTTGGTCATGTGATGAGATGGAAAAAAAAAAGGAGTTCATCGTGACGGTAGGAAAGTTGGAGGAAAGGAGTGGCAGAGGCAGAGGGAGACCGAGAGAACAGATGCTGAACGGTTTGACATCATGGCGTGGAAGATTATCTGTGTCAGAGTTGACTAGAAAAGTACACGAGACAAAAGGTTGTGGCTAGACATGACTACCAACGCTATGGACTTTAAGAAGAGAAAGAAGTAGATTGCAAACTTCAACGAAAAGTACTGGTTGTTCGTCCACGTCTGCATTAGCGCCTGGTTCCAGAACTAGAGTGTTGCGTGCATATCCGTTTTACAGAAATGGCATATTTATATATGTTCTCCAGTAATGCTGGTGTATTTGGAAACGAGCAGGCAGATAGACTGGTCGGTTCTGCACCATTTGGTGGCGAATTGATGTTTTGAGGGCCTTTGGGAGCGAGCGAACAGTGCAGAGGCACAAATAGATCATTACGGTCTGAGCAAAATGGCGTTGCGGGGAGTTACCAGGGAATATGGCCGACGCTCAACACTTGAGGGAAATTTCAAGACGGATACACAGACATTTATTGGTACCATAGGAATTTGAACTCATCGATTGCTGCTGAAGATGAGGACGGGGCGCTTATGGGAGTGTCCCGAGTGTTGTGATGCCGATTCTTAATTCAAGACAACTGGGTAATTAAAAATCTGAGCACCTCTACATAATGTACTGGAGCGTCAAGAATGATTACTGAGATTTTAAACTGTTATCATACGAGAACTATATAATGGATACTGATGTGACGTTGACCACATAACACCCCGAGTGCCGATTGGTCTATATAATAAGAGTCCAGCCCTATATGCTTAGCGGCGTCCGTGGCTAAGGCGTTGCGAGTCCGACTCGTAAGCCAGCATACCGCAATCGAAACCCACTGCAGGCTGCGTGGATTTTTGTCGTGGTATGGGACGTCGCAGGTCGACCCAGCCTAAAATGGGTGAATATTTTTCTCCAGATTTGGACTAGGCTCTCCGGTTGACCAAACCAAACAATGGTACCAGGCCTAGTAAATAAAGGCGGTCGGTGTAATAATAACCATATCGTCAACATAGAACTGATTGTTCTATAGAAATATGCGTTTAGTATCATAAGCCCGATAATTCTTCCTCTTTTTTTGTTTCTTCCCTTTCAATAATACTGCTCTGCGTGTAAAGGTAGATATAAGGTTCTGCTTCTCGATTTTTTTGGCCGCCTTGACCGTAAACTCATCGTACTGTTGTAGAGTTTCTTTTTTTTGTTGTCTTTCCCTCTCGTTACTGTTGTATCTTGTGCTCTATATCCTCCTCCTCCTCCTCTGTTGTTGTGTGCCTTGTATGGAATTGCGTCTTCAGACATTCTCTCTAAGTGGGCAAACCCTTTGATTTCTTGTTTTTGTATAGAATTTAGAATTATTTCTGTGCCGATTTTTTCTTTCACCCCGTCATTCCTGATTCTATATCTTATGATCGCTTCTGCAGTCTTTCTCAGAGATCTCATTCCTATACCTTTAGTTACTCAAGTGAAAAAGTAATTGGTCCGTACTTCACGATAACAAATGACTATCTTTCTATGCGATTATTGCTAAGGAATTAATTACCTGTCAATGACGAGGCATTTGTAGCAGTAATTGCTTCTTTGCTGACCTTCACAAAGCCACCCTCCCTAGCAGGACGGCCACTAGCGTCCAGCATGCTTGACTCGGGAAACTCCACAGCATGAAGATCATACACCCACTGTGTCTCAATTTTGAATTCTGCGTATAGATATAACAGCAGTTTGTAATATTAGTTAGTGAAAACACATTAGCACATATTACTGACACACACCCTACAGCAGGGGCGCCGAGACAAAGACAAAACTAGGAATGATTGGATGGGGTGGATGGTGGTGCGCTCATTGTGGCTAAGACATATTTAATATAATAAAACAGTGTTTATTTGTAATGCGTTTAAATAATGCGGATAATAATAAAAATATATTGTACATTTTTTTTCCCGGGCATATTGTCTATATTTAGAAGTGTCATAATAAAAATAAAAGTAGTAGTAGTAGTAGTAGTAGTAGTAGTAGTAATAATAATAATAATAATAATAATAATAATAATAATATCTTGAATGACAGACAAAGAATGTTATTATTCAGCCATCTAGTGAGAATAATGCCAGGCCAAACTGCATATAAGACTTTTCACAGCAGAACATTTGGCAGGAAGGCAAGAGGAAAACGAAGAAAGACCTGGATAAATGGTGTTGCTGAATATTCCCCCTTCCCCCCCCCCCCAAAAAAAAAATCCATCATACAAGCCACACGAGAAGGGCAAGACAAATACAAAAACCTATGATTCTGGGCTACAATCTGGTATCAGTGAGGCCACACGCACGCACGCACACACGCACACACACACACACACACACACACACACACACAGAGAAAGAAAATAAGAAAATAATGACATAAATATATCTGAAATAATAGGAAATTTATTAGCAAATATTTAGAAAGAGAGTCACTAAACAATGGCTATAGGGCTGTTAAGGCACTTTCAAATTTGGCTTTACGCCCTAGCTAAATCAGCCTGGGGTGCCAGGTGGAGGGCTGGGAAGAAAATTCGCCTGACGTAATGCTGACCACATCACCCAACAAGTGCAGATTGGTCTATAATATATAGGTCTAGCCCTATATGCCCTGTTGGCATGGAAAGGGTCCTTTACTCTACCCAGGAAAATGTGTGCTACCGGTGGCTGACCCTCCAAGTTCCGGCCCACCCGCTAGACATAAACCTGTAGTGTCTGAGTTTTGAATTTTTCAGTAACATTATTTATTTATATGGAATTACTGAAACAATATCACACAAATCGTTGACGCAGCAGTATACAATAGTAAATTATAGACATCAGTTGTCCTAATGCTAAATTATATAAATGACATCAACCATTGATATTGATTCACGGGGGCAGAAAGGGGGAGGGAGAATGGTGCAAAGATTGGACGCGTGCGCGCGCACACACACACACACACATTATCATCATCATCATCATTATTATCAAGTACCTTGCCAGCAGGTTTAGGAATTCATGCATTTCTATAGATCTCGATCTTTGGGTCTCTGGATCAATTCCGCTGATGATATTCTTCCATGCCATTGTCTTCAGCCGTCCACCATCATTTCTCTTGGTCTGCCCCTGTCTCTTCTACCAGTGGTCTTTCCAGTCGTCACGATATTTTCCAGTGGTCCTCTTCTCATCACATGACACACACACACACACACACACACACATATATATATATATATATATATATATATATATATATATATATATATATATATATATGTGTGTGTGTGTGTGTGTATGTGTGTTAACTCTACTATCACCGAATCACATCAGCTTGTTCTTTAAGAAAGTAAAAAGAGGTTCCTTTACGTACCGGCTTTACTCATACAAGGCTTCAGCCTGCACACGGCTGACGCAGCTGTTTCGGCTGCCTTAGTTTTACATTTCTTCCAGGTTGAATGGGTTATCTTGGGTACGCCTTGGTAAGCATATGGGTAGCAGTCCAGAGAGGACAAACCGATATGTCAATCCTCTAAGTAAGCAAAAATCAGAAACTCTGTACTAGGCATGTCATAAAAAGGAACTAGGCCTTACGTTGGTTACCTACCTCATCTAGTTTAAATAAACAAACAAACGAACAAAAACCTTAAACTATGAACAGGTATAAAAAGGGATAAAAAATAGTCAGCCATGTTAGAGAAATGCGAAATTTCTTTATTGGGAAAGGAAACAACATCGAACATGGTTCTAATCTTAATCGACTTACCTCTTTTCACCTAGGAACATCTCCGGAATGTCCACCAGATATTCCTGAACTATGTGTGTATTTGAAAACAAAGATCAGGTGATTTGACGCGAGTTGGCCTATACTCTATTGACGTATTAAAGCCAGAAAAAGAGAGAGAGAGACTTCTGAATCGAAGTATGTATTAAATACATACCTACGTATTCCAGAATAACCTTTAACTTTGCGTCCTTGTAATGCACCAGACCATCCTTGATGTGATAGTCCAGAGATCGACTGACCACGTCGGCAAAATCTTTCATCACCTGAAGCAGCTGGTCACCTTCTGTCCCCGAGGGACTGGTAGCGTTCCAACCTGCTTCATTTCTTGGCGCCAGCAGGTTGTTGACTATGTTAACGAGAATCTGGTGAAGGGATAATTAAAGGAATACTTCAGGTGGCATTTGATACTTTTATAGAAGGAAAGCCAAGAATCTGATTTTTGCGTAGAAGGAAAGTCAAGAACTTGATACTTGTTTACAAGTAGCGGCAAGAATTGGATAACAGTGCACAAGGAAAAGCAAGAATTGTATACGTTTTTTGTTGTTGTTGACAACAAAAGGCAAACGTTCGGTACTTCTGTACTGTGACAGCCACGGCTCCAGTCGTGTGATAGGCAAAAAAGTAATAACAAAAGCAAAGTACATTAACACTTCGATTAACCGTCACCGTCCGGACCAGGGCTGTGACTAAGAAGCGAAAGGGCGGATAACAGAAATCTATGATACGTATGTACAGTAACGTGATTTCACTACGGGCTTGGGACGAAAAAAAACAAACATAAGACACCGACGATTGATCACTTTCACCATCGTTCAGTACAATCACTAGCAGATTGATAAAATCGGGTGTAAAACTAATCCGTGCACAGTTTTAAAGATGTCTGATTGTTGATACTCAGACATTTTTTAAAAGAGGTCGCGGATAAAACAAACTAAGGGTTAAACGAGTGACGGTTAATAGAAGTTTTACTATAATGAAGGAAGTTAAGTCAAATAAGCAACAACAACAACAACAACAAAATGTAAAATAAGTAAGAAAGTCAGTGAGGTAGGTAAATAATAAATAAAGTAAGAAAGAGCGTAGAGTAGGTAAGCAATAAGGAAAGCAAATTAGGTAAGTAATAAAGAAAGTAAAATTAATTAAATAATACAGAAAGTAAAGTTAAGTAAGTAATAAGGAAAGTAAAATTAATTAAGTAATACAGAAAAAAAGTGAAGCAATTGATAAAGAAAGTAAAATTAATAAGGTAATACAGTAAGTAAAGTTAGGTAAGTATTAAAGAAATCAAAATTAATTAAGACATAAACTAAAGTTAAGTAAGAAATAAAGAAAGTAAAATTAAGTAAGTAATATAGAAAGCAAAATTAATTAGGTAATACAGAAAGTAAAGTTTAGTAAGTAATAAAGAAAGTAAAATTAATTAAGTCATACAGAAAGTAAAGTTCAGTAATTAAAAATAAAGTAAGCACTAATGGAAAAAAAAAGTAGGTAATAAAGAAAGTAAGGTTACGTATGCCCGTAACAAGAAATTGCGGTAATAACGAATGTAAGTTACAGTAAGTGAGAAGTAATGAAAGTAAAGTAAAAAAAAAAAAGGAATATATTGGAAAGTTAATGGGTAATAAAGAAAGTAAATAGCATGAGTATGTAATATGGGAAGTAAGTAATAAAGAAAGTAAGTTTCAGTAAGCAACAAGCAACTACAGTAACGTAAGAAGATAGGAAAAAAAAAACTTTCGAGTAAGTAAAGTTAAAGATGTGAAAAATAAAGTGTATAACTGTAAATAAAAAAAAAAAAAAATGAATAGCTAGCAAGAAATTAAGTAAAGTAAATAAAACAGCAAATGTCAGAATAAATTAGAAACCTATTTTCAATTTAAGAGGCGAATTAGATACACGGTGCCAGCTTTATATAGCACTCAAACACAAAATTTCTATTTCCCATGGAATGTCCTAGTACCCATGTTAGAGTGGGAAAGCCGCTGTGGTTTAATGGCTCAGCTGCCGATCTGGGATTCGTTGGTTCAAATCGGAACAGATCTGGACTTCCTCAGAATTAACCTTGGCTCCCGGGTTGACCTAGCAATAAATGGGCATCAGGTAGTGTTCTGTGAAATAAAGGTGGCTGGTGTAATGTCGACCACATCAACCACCGAGTGCGAGAAGAGTAACATTTACAGGGCTAGCCCTATTTGCTACCACCCCTGAAGACGTGGGAAAAAGCCCTTTACTTTTGTTAGACTGGGTTGACTTGGATGCCAGCAATGCAAAAATCAAGACTCGAACATATGGCTACCTGGGTTAGAGGTAAGCTCTCTAAGTATTTAGCTTGAAATAGCACAACGTGTATATGGCTGCATTTTCTTTAGAATAGCCAACTAATTTAATTAAACAATCTTTATACTTGGCCTAACAGAACAGACATGTTTTTGAAAGCTTCGAATTAGCTAAAATAGAGGGGAAAAAAAGGAGGGTGGGGGGGGGGGGGGGGGGGAAACACAATAAACAACATGTCAAAATGTGGAATACGGATTTAACGCTGCTTGATTTAAAAGTTTGAGAAATCTTTCTAGGCACGTAGCTTGTAATAAATATGAAGCTGTAATTCTTTGAATAAGCAACTAATTTCTTGAAATTTATCTTCATCCTTGGCTTTACAGAAATGGATTATTTTAATAAGCTGTGAATTGCGTACTTTAAAACATAACGAAAAGTATCATTTCTAATTGTGACATCCAGAGTTAACGTTGCTTGATTTAATAGTTTAAACACGATTTATACTAACCCATTCAGCATTGTAATTTGTAGAAATTGCTGAAATATCTAGCAGAAGCAGTTGCAAGTGCGGAAATGGAGACAGCCAGCAGGATAGGACACAGCATTAATAAATAGGCGTCCGTGGCTAAGGCGTTG